AGGGGAAGGAGGGCACCAGGCCTTCTCGGAGTCTTTAAGAGATTCCCATGCTGGGCCCTCAGGTGACCCGTCCCCAGATCCTGGCAATGCCCCTCTTCTGACTGCCATTTTTGGTGGTTACCTGCCATTTTTCAGTTCTTCTCGCAATTGAGATGGCGTGGCCTCTCCGGGGAAGGACCCAGCAGGGACCCAGCATCCAGTTTTGGTCCATAAGAACCTGCGGTGCTCGGCCCTGCCCTCAGAGGGAGTACAAAGACAGAGCTCTCTCCTCGGACACCACTGGCCACTTCTTGGCCTGAGAATCTTTCAGAACTGGCTTTGGCTCTCCTCTCTGTACCACACAATCTCTAAGGAGCTCTGGGGCTTCTCTCTCTCTCTCTTTTTTTTTAAGAGAGAGATTTTTGCTAAAGCATGTACGCACTTACCAGAGAGACAGAGACAGAAAGAGGCAAAGTGAGATATTCCCCCCCACCCAGTGAGGATGGCCGCACCACAATCCCTTCTCTCAGGATTTTCATGCACATGCATCCAGCATGAGTTTCAAGCCTCAGGGTCTGGATGGCCATCCCCCTGGGGGGTGATTTCTCGCTTTCTGTTTCTCTGTCTCTGTCTCTCTGGCAAGCGCACGCACCCTATAGCAAAAATCTCTAAAAATAAACAGAAAATCACAGAGCATATGAAAGTAGAGATGGCAGGATTTGCTCACAGGTCAAATGCGGGGTGTGATAAGCAATGGAAGGAAGCCGGCGTCGGGAAGGACAGCGCTGCCTTAAACTAAGTAAGCAGTTCTGCAGGGGAGCACATTGTGGAGTGTGGGGCTTATCAAGGCTATTTTAGTCATCGAGATGTTCAGACTAGTTCCTGATTACAACTTCGCACTCCTACCTAATTTGAACCTCCTCTCTTTCTCCCAGCTCTGGCCTGCTTCAGACAGGGAAGCCGACAATGGGGAGAGGGCATGCTCAGCTCCTGGGCCACACCCCCTGTGACTCTCTCAGCCCTACCATGTTGTCTCCAGCTCTCTGCTGTAAAAGCTCCTCGTCACCAACCGTCACCCCAGGATGGTGCTCCTTAGGGGAAGGAGGGCACCAGGCCTTCTCGGAGTCTTTAAGAGATTCCCATGCTGGGCCCTCAGGTGACCCGTCCCCAGATCCTGGCAATGCCCCTCTTCTGACTGCCATTTTTGGTGGTTACCTGCCATTTTTCAGTTCTTCTCGCAATTGAGATGGCGTGGCCTCTCCGGGGAAGGACCCAGCAGGGACCCAGCATCCAGTTTTGGTCCATAAGAACCTGCGGTGCTCGGCCCTGCCCTCAGAGGGAGTACAAAGACAGAGCTCTCTCCTCGGACACCACTGGCCACTTCTTGGCCTGAGAATCTTTCAGAACTGGCTTTGGCTCTCCTCTCTGTACCACACAATCTCTAAGGAGCTCTGGGGCTTCTCTCTCTCTCTCTTTTTTTTTAAGAGAGAGATTTTTGCTAAAGCATGTACGCACTTACCAGAGAGACAGAGACAGAAAGAGGCAAAGTGAGATATTCCCCCCCACCCAGTGAGGATGGCCGCACCACAATCCCTTCTCTCAGGATTTTCATGCACATGCATCCAGCATGAGTTTCAAGCCTCAGGGTCTGGAACTTGAACTGTGGTTGGCTGTTTGTGAGCCCAGCACCTTAGCCACTATGCCACCTGCTGGTCCCTCCAAGGGCTTCTCTCCTTTTTATTTTATTATTTTTTAAAGAGGTTTCTGCCTTACGGTGCATGTACTTGTTGGAGAGAGAGAGACAGGGACAGCAACGGTGAGAGGGAAAGTGAGAAATCACCCCCCCCCCAAGGATGGCCACACCATATGCCTTGTTCCCCGTTCTCCTTCTGGAATCTTGGGCACACATGCACATGCGCCTGGCATGATTTTCGAGCCACAGGATCCAGGACTCAAAGCACAAGTCGGCCATGTGGGACTCCAGAGACCAAACTGCTACACCATCTGTCTCCCCACCCCCAAGGATCTCTCTCTTAAAGTCCCTTGTGTTGCTTGGCTAGCATGAGAGGATGTACACACCCGAACATGAAACAAAATGAAACTTAGCAGAAGCAAGCGCTAGCAAACCTGGAACAAATGGAGTCATCGCGTGCAGTTGGCGGGATGGTTGGGATGTGCCTCTTTGAAAAACCCTTGGCAGAATTTACTTAAGGTGACCTGATACTTCTGTATCTAGTTATATACTCACTATATGTATTATACACACAAAAACATACATGCATACAGGTAATCAACAAAGACACCTGACGGAATGGCCACAGCAGTGTAAAAGCCATGTACTGGAAACAACCCAAATTCTCATCAGCAATAGAATGGATAAATAATAGTATATTTTTAAAAAAAATTTTTTAAAGTGTGTATGCACTCGCCAGAGAGAGAGGGTGGGAAGGAAAAAGCAGCTTCCATGGGAAATGGGCACACTGCAACCCCTTCTCCTCCCTCTCTCCCTCTTCTCAAGCTATGTGGGATCTGGTTGCCTTAACCACCAGACCACAGAGCCAGCCCAACGGTTAGATACACATTTCCCAAATCCCCAAAGGAGAATGGAGGAGAAGGGACTGCAGTGCAGTCATGTCCTCTTGGGAGGTGTTTTCTCACTTTCTCTGTATCTCATTCAGTCTCCTACAAATGCACATGTCCTATAGCAAGTTTTTTTTTTTTTTTTAAAGAAAAGAAAGTAAAGACAAAGTTTCTGAAGAAACTTGTATTCTCCCAGCTATTCATGAATTGCAGTTTCATTGTCGGATAGCAGGAGCTGGGGTTACTTATAAAAGGTATCTAGTTATAAGAATGTTCTGAACCAAAAACTGACCAAAGCTTTTCAAAAAGTGAAAATGTTATGCTTCCCAGGACTCTACTTAAGCCAGCGGGGAGCTCGGCTTCCTGGGCTCCTACCAGAATTTACCAGCAGGGGTCAGCCTTGCACAAAGCCCACAAGCTTGCGCCTTCTGTGAACTGGAAGTTTCTTCCCCATTCAGTCAAGGGTCCTGGACTTTCATCAGTAGTTTTCTCAGTGTGCACCTCCACTGTTGTCCCCTCTACTGTGTTACTACCACTGACTCTGGCGTTCACAACACAGACCAGAAATCTCACAGCCTCCCCCCCTCATTCAAACGCCCTCTCCTCTCCTTCCACGTTCTCCTCTCTCAAGCAACACTCCTCTCTTGTCACACCCCTTTGGCTGTTTGCCTTCCAATCTGCAGTCCCCTATCGCCTGCTTTTCACTGCCCCCTTCTCCAATCTAGACATCACAAGTCCTCAGGAAAATTACTTCTGCAAACATCTTCAACTCTTTGACCATGCCAGGCCTCAGCTTTTAACCCATTCATGATTTCCCACTGCACTTGGGCTGAAGTACAGAACCCTCTACTGAGTCCCCAAGGCCCAACCCAGCCTCGCCCTGGTCGGTGCCTCTCCCATGACAACATCCGATTCTCCCTTTCGCCAGCACTAGTCATTTCCTCCACGTTCTTTGTCTTATTCTTTTTCCTAACTAGGTGTTTATTTCCTCCCAGGCACAATATATAAATTTTACCTACATTTGAGAACTTTCTCATGTAATGGTTGTCTTCCATTTGATACTATGCACTTGACAAATAGGCGTCTGCTTGTCTTTTTTCAGCAGTGCCGAGCACTTGCTAGGTTCTGAGTTGAATGTTGAATTTAGAATCTAGATCCAGACTCCAAGATATGAGAGAGTGTGGCCCCCGGTTGCTTTAGAAAAGTAATAATTATAGCACTTTGTATAGTGTGTGTCTTTTCAAAGTCCTTTAACATCCACTACTATAATAATTGCATACCGTAAGTTAGATAAGATAGAGAAGTGTTACTATTTCCATTTGATATATGAAAAAATGAGGCACGAAGAGAGCGAACTGCTAAATGTCTGAGTAAGAACTAAAGCTAAACTCTCTAACCTATCCATTTGCGTGTCTTAGCTAGTACGTGTAAATGTTCTGACTTGACCAAGCTTACAGTGGAGACCTTGGGCTAACAGATGCTCAGGTGCCGGAGACGGCGCTTTCGGTCCCAAACCCAGCTGCACTGTTTAGTGCCCTGCGAGACCTTGTGCTAGTTACTAAACGTCCCTGCGCTTCAGTTTCTCCATCCCTAAAGTGGGAATAGCGACACCTATCGAAGCAGATGGTAGCGAAGTTATATGTATATCTTGGACCAGTCCCATGACCTAGTTATTAAGGGAGCCAGATCCCACATGGCTGACCACAGTGTAAGTCCCAGCCCAGCAGCTTGAAAGACATGCTGGGCACACATGTGTATGTACCCTAAATTCTGCGAGCGTAGAGGGATGGAAGAGACGGGACAGTGGCGTAACCATACCCTGTTGGAAGGTGCTTTCTCTCTCATCTCTGGCAAGTGCACATGAGGGCAACTAAAATAAGTTTCCTTCTCTCTTTCTATATATGAATATACCTATATAGAGAGGGAGTTTTTTAAATATGTATGAATATTTATATTCATATGTGTGTGTGTGTGTGTGTGTGTGTGTGTGTGTGTGTGTATGGTTATTGGAAAGTCACGACACATCTTTGCAATAGAAAAACAGGAAAATATGTCATGACTTTTCCGACGACCCAATATATCTTCCAAATCTCACTACTATATATAAATACACGTGTAAAGATACATGAATATCGAATGCCCGTCTTCATATGTCTGTGTCTACCTATCTCCTAGCTATCTGAAGAAACACACCCACACACCGTCGAGCTTTGGTACATGGGAGCACTCAGGGAAAGGAATTTCTGGTCGTGGACGTGCTCTGAGAATAGTGACTGACTCACAGTCCCCGGTGACACCAACAGTTAGCACACTACCTTTCTCAGCGATGCTTCATACAAATGTTTGACACAACCTTTGGGCAATGTTCTGTTTTCTTGAATTTATCCTTACCTGTAAACACTGCTGCCTCTGAGGAATGAAAGACAAAAGTGTACTCTGCATCCAGCGGCTGTCAGCTCTCCAGGCTAGTGCGATGCCTGTGATGGGGTTACGCTGTTGGAAGAGCAAGCACTGTCTTTGTGGAGGTTTGTCTACAGCACCGTTTTGGTGTGACAGCCAAGAACCTTTGGGCAGTGTTTTGTACCTCTGAGAGTGAAATAATTCCTCCTGTGGAGTTTGTCCTAGTCTGGGTGCAAACAATTGTTTTGTTAGTAGAAAAACACCCTGTCTTGGGCCCAGCAGATGGCATAATGATTACATCACTGGACTCCCACGTAGTTGACCACAGTTTGACTCCCAGACCCGGCAGCTTAAAACTCACACTGGGCTTCTGTGCCCAGAATCCTGAGAAAAGAATGGAGAAGGGATTGTGGCGTGGCCATCTCCCCTGGGGTGTGTGTGTGTGTGTGTGTGTGTGTGACTTCTTGCTGTCTCTCTGTCCTTCCAGTGAGCACACGTGCCCTATTGGAAAAAAAAAAAAACTGAAAAGTATACCCTGTCCTCTAGATGCGGCCATTCCTACATGTATATCCTTTAGGAACTGATAATTAGGAGCAGACTTCTGAATGCCTAGTCTCTATTCGTTCTCTGATTTTGGAGTTGATTTCCCGATCTTTCCTTGAGGGGTGTAACTGAGAGAGCTCAGGTCCTCACCCAGCCTTTATTCTGGAATCGGGCATATACAACAGCCATGGCAGTCACTATTTACCGCCCTGTCCTAGCAAGGCATTGAACTGATGAGGCAATCTTTACTCCACGGATAGGATAGAAAATTAAAGAGTAGGATGCCAAGAAGGTAGGTTGATTCTCTTTAAAAAAGCTTATTGGAATGGAAAAGTCACATGGCATTTGAAAATCCCTCTTTGTGGGATAAAGTGATAATTTAAATAAACCTACAAGAGAGAACTAAAAGTCATGGCATTTTATTTAATTAGCTAAGTCCTTTAAAAAATATCTTATGCTATAATATTTTTCTCTCCTGCAGTAATTAACATAAATATACAGGAATAATGGCCCATGAGGAAATAAAACATATGAGTACAAACTTAGATGGTGGTTTCCCTGGAACGCTAACATGAATGGCTGACTGATAGGCTGCAGAATACTAGAACAGACTGAATTCCTTGTTTAAGTCTTTATGCTGGTGATCCTTCCACTATCTTTGTCATCATCTGTTGACATTCATTGCATAGCTACCTGAGGTTAGGAGTCTGTAGGAAAAATCTGTTACCAATACAGAGGGGCCAGCAGATGGCATAATGATTGTATCACTGGACTCCCATGTAGTCAACCAGGTTCAAGTTCTGGCCTCTGCAACTTGAAACTCACACTGGGAGCATGTGTGTGCATGCCCAAAATCCTGAGAGGGGAATGGACCAGGATAGATTGTGGTGTGGCCAGCACCCTGGGGTGGGGTGGGGTGATTTCTCACTTTCTGTTTCTGTCTCTCTCTGTCTCTCCAGTCAGCACATGTACCCTATAGCAAAGAAAAAAAAAAAACCCTCCCTTAAAAAAAAAGTACAATGAAACCTGAGACCAGCAGATGGCCTAGCGTTTATGTCACTGGAATCCCACATGGCTACCACGGTATGCTGCCCGGAGCTGGTGGCTTGAAAATCACTCCAGGCACGTGTGTATCGGTGCTCAAGATCCCAGGAGGAGAATGGAGAAGGGACTGTGGTGTGTCCATCCCGTCTGGAGTGATGGTGATTTCCCACTTTTCCTCTCTTTCATTGGCAAGCGCACATGCCCTAAGACAAAAACCTTGGGGAGAAAGAAAAAAAAAAGCACAACAAAACCATTCTTCCCTATTTCTTGTATAAATTCATTATACTAATTTTTTTCAATTATTTTTATTTAACTATGTTTATTTATTTATGCATTTTAAATTTGATCTGAGAAGGACAGAACAAGAATTAGACAGAGAGAAGGAAAGTGAGAAAGAAAGACGCCAGGTCTCGGATTCGAACTGTGGTTAACCATGTGGAGTCCAGCATCCTTAACCACCACGCCACCTGCCAGCCCCTAAATTCATTAAACTATTAACAGTGTAGAACAGAACAGTCTCCATCCTGTTGTTCAAGAATCCAAAGTAATGAGGCCAAGTCTTCCAGTTTTAGTTGAGAAATGACGGTCATTAGCTTCAGTAGGTTCTCCTGCATCTACTATCCCTTTCTTTTTAGGAAGAGCATGAGCATGTTGGAAGGAGAGAGAGGAGTATTTTAGACAGGGTCTTGCTACGTCTTGACCCTCCTGCTTCAACTTCCCAGGTAACTAGGAGGCCAAGAGCACCCACCACTGCCGGCTCATTGAAATCGTGCCGGGAACCGAACCCGGGTTTCCCGTTCAGCCTCATTCAGGGCACAGTGGCACCCTTCTGCTCATGCTACCATGACTGGGCTTACACTTTTTAGAAATGTTTGATTCTTTCCTTTTGTTTACAAGTTTTCACAATCATGAATTGGTTCTCTAGCATTCTCTGAGGATGACCAAGGTAGCCAGGTATGGTGGTGTGTGCCTGTAATCCCGGCTGCCTGAGAGCCTGAGGCAGGAGGATTGTGAGAGAGAGGCTGGTCTCAGCAACATAGCAAGACACTTCTCAGAAAACAAAAACCCAAGGATAAGCAATGGGATTTCTTTTTAATATAATTTTTGGCTTATATTTATATTAATTTATGTATTATACATAATTCATGTGTTTTAATTAATTATAGTTATTGTTCTTATGGATGCTTTAAATGTCCCATCTCTGGTTCTCTAGTGAGAACCTCTGAATCTTCTCCTGAATCATTTTGACACGACCCTGGTATTCTCTGATAACTTCTGTGCTTTCTGGTAGAATAAGATGGTCCAGAGCTCATCATGTATGCTTCAGTCCTGGAGTGAGTCATTTCTTCAAGCAGCTTGGTCCCTTTTAGTAGGAAATTATACTTAAACACTAAAATCTAATTGTTGAAGGTGTTCATTGTTACTGAATTAGAAATTATTTGGGGACCAGCAGATGACGCAATGGTTACATAGCTGGATTCCCACATGGTCAACTACTGTTTGAGTCCTAGACACAGAGGCTTGAAACTCACCCCAGGTGCGTGTGCATGTGTGCCCAAGATCCCAAGAGGAAAATGGAGGAGAAGGGATTGTGTCGTGGCCAGCCCCTCTAGGGGGGTGATTTCTCACATTCTATCTCTCTGTCTCTCCAGAAAGTACACATACCCTATAGCAAAAATCTCTAAATAAAATAAAATAAAAATATGTTTAGCCTTTCTAAGCCTCAGTTTCTTTATTTGGAAAATGGAGATAATAACCCTACCCCATTGGCACTACTCCCGAGGACTAAATGAGAAAGTGGATCACAAACACCTAGAACTAAGTTATCAGTGAGCTCTATCCAGGCTTAGCTCCATAGCTCAGTGGTTGGATCCCCCACAGCCAACTGCAATTTGAGTGTTGGCCCCGGCAGGTTGAAAAACACACTGGATGTGAGCATGTGGTGCCCCAAACCCTGACGGTGTAGAGAAGGGGAGGAGAAAGGATTGCTGCATGATCACACCCCATTGGGGGGATGGATGCTTTCTTTCTCTCTCATGGCTAATGCACATGCCCTCTGGCAATTAAAAAATATTCTATCAAATTTAGTACAAAGCATTTCATTGTTTTTGTTTTTAGAATTATTTTTATTTAACTTTATTTTAATTTGATCAGAGAGGGACAATGTGAGAGAAAGCGAGAGGGAAAGTGAGAAAGCAAGCCACCAGGTCTGGGACTCAAACCACAGTCAGCCATGTATGAGTCCAGTGCCCTTAACCACCATGCCACCTGATGGCCCCCATTTCAATGGTTTTCATTAACATTGCTTCTTCTGAAAATCCCAATGTATCCAGGTAAGTTGGGAATAATGAGTTTATTAGCAAGAAATATAAAATATGAAATTACTGATAACGTGATTAACTGAGGGGCCAGCAGGTGGCATAGTAGCTAAGGTGCTGGACTCCCACATGGCCGACCACAGTTTGAGCCCTGGACCAGGCAGCTTGAAAATCACACCACACATGTGCGCATGCATGCTCATAATCCCAAGAGGACAATGGAGGAGAAGGGATTGCAACATGGCCATATTTTTTTTAAAAAAGACCCTCAGATCTGCACTCCAGTCTTGTTTAAACATTACTCAAATGTTATCTTGTTTCTTTGGGTCACCTTGTTTTCCTTTTTCCTTTTAGAGTTACCAGGAAGATTGTTCCCAGTCCTATCTGACTGGGAAGCTCTGTGTTGTTCCTTGTAGCACTGTGAACGTAATATTCGCGTATGTTCTAGAATAGTCTAGTGACGCAGTATTGGGCTACGTCATCAAGGTGCAATAGCTGATGACTTTGGAATAAAATGCAGCGTCGTCGCAGGAGCATATGACTTTTACCCCAGTTAGATAAATCATTAACCCTGGCACTCTGTGGTGCAGGGCATTTGGCTAACCTTGTAATCCAAGCCAGGGAGCAAACGGAAGGAGGCTGTGGCTGCCTTCCTCCCTGAAGGAACAAGAGAAGAGAAACCATCTGGTGAGGCATTCCAAGCACCACACGTCCCAGTGCAGCTCTTGGTTTTCATCGCTAAATGTCGCTTTCTCTGATCTCTATGGGAGAAGACACCAACAAGAAAGAATTTTCAGGGACCAGCAGTTGGTGTAATGGCTATGTCGTTGGACTCCCATGTAGTCCACCACAGTTCGAGTCCTGGACCAGTGGCTTAAACCAGGCGTGTGTACGTGTTTGCCCAAGATCCCAAGAGGAGAATGGAGGAGAAGGGATTGTGATGTGGCCATCCTCCCTGGGGGGGGGGGTGATTTCTCACTTTCTGTCTCTTTGGCAAGTGCACGCGCCCTATAGCAAAAACCTCTCCAAAAAAAAAAAAGAATTTTTGTAAAAAAATTTTTTTTAAATTTATGATTATTACCATTACTTTTAAATTTGCTGTAAGGCATGTGCACTTACCAAAGAGAGACAGGGAAGGAGGGGGAGTGAGAAAGTAAGCCATCAGGTCTAGGACTCGAACTGCAGTTGACCATGTGAGAGTGCAGTGCCTTAACCACCACACCACCTGGCCCCTCAGGAAAGAATTTTAAATGAAAGTAAAAAAAAAAAAAAAAATCCAGCCAGGGTCAGCAGGTGGTGTGGTGGTTAAGGCAATGGACTCCCACGTGCCCTACTG